ATATATCCACTATTTCTAGACACTTTATGTCGTAATGGAAAGACATTTGCACAATCCATCCATTTAGGAAAGGTGCCAAATTCTATTGTAGAGTGATTAGGGCAATCATATATCGGTGGATATTCTATGTAAATAACTGGCTTTTATGGGAAAATTCTATTTCAATAATCTTTCTATTTTGACAAATGTCCAGATGGTATAGTCTTACATTCTAAGGACCAGCAAGATTGGCTGGTTTAGGTTCCCATATGCTGTCTTTTCCTCAAAAGATACCCTTAGACAGCCAGCATTCTTCTCATGGAATCAACATATAGCTAGCTGACCATTATAGCCAATATAATTAATCTAGTCACATGGATGTATTTTCCAGTCCACATTGTAAAGTACATTAAAAGTGGACTTGGGGAATTGGGTCCACAGAAGTCTCTTTATAGGTTTTTCTTACCTGGCAGCTCGTGAAGCTTGTATGGTTGTAAATTCTATGGTTGGAGATTTACCTTCTTATGTCAAGTTTTTCAGCCATTTCTATGATGACAGATTTAGATTCTATCCTTTGAAATCTGATTTAATTTGCTGAACCATGTTCAGCAGTAGTAAGACTTTTAGTATTACAATGTAAGTATAATTTTTTGAAATATCCCGTAAAATTTAGTGCATGTATGTAGAGTCCTGTTTTTTCCCTTTTTATTTATTTAAATTGAATAAAAGGCTGGAATAAGTCATAATATCATTAGTTTTAAGTTGTAGACAATAGTTTAGTATAGTACAAGTATTTTAATAATAAGAAGAGACTTATTATGTTTAGTTGGCTATGATGCTTGACAAGAGTCATTTATTAGCTATGTTAAAACCAACATTATTAAGTTGGAAAGGGACCATGTAAATAGAAACTTGAATTTTATCAAATACATGATTTGATTTTGACTTTAGCAGAATTACAAAATGAAAAATATAATAAGTTGTATATAAAAATTTGTATTTAAATTACCTCTACTATAACTCCTCAAATTTTCTAAAATTTTCCATGCTTCCTAGGAAATGGCTTAGAAAAAAATGTTTAAAATCTATCTTTTCTTTCACAGATGAGCTATATTATTCTATTTTTAGTATCTGACTTATAGCTAGTCACTAGTTGTGGTTTACATAGTTATACTGCTAAGTATGTTAAACATTTCAAAGCACATCTGATGTTTGCTTATTTTACAACTCTGTGTTACTGTGTGGCTAATTCTTTTATATATATATATATATATATATATATATATATATATATATATATATATATATATATATATAATCCCTTGCATTTAGTGTTCAAAGTTGTATTAGGATTTCCACATTGCTCAAATCTGATGGTGATATTCACATATTAATCTATATGAATAGTGTCCCCTGGAGTCCTGCAGCCCAGGTCTGTATCAGAGGTTCCCATATGCTGTCTTTTCCTCATTAAAATTTAAGAGTGAGTAGAGGGGTAGATTTCTCTATTTTGGGGGGTCAACTTGATTTGTTAACATACTTCAAGTATGTGGACCTGGTTTCACATCTAGACATTTTCTATTTGGGTGATACCTTGAGAAATTTGGCAAATATCTTGAAATTGTCAATTTCAAGGCCAATCCACTTATTTACCTTTGCTGTGTGATGGGAATAGTTTGTCTTATTGTAGTAAGAATCTAAGTCTAAATATCAAGTAAAGTCTCTGACTGAGACACAACTAAAATGGGTTGTATCAAAGAATATGGATTCCTAGATCAACACTGAATGATCATTCCAAGGGGAGGCTTCAACTTTATTAACCTACAAATGCTTCCTTCAAATTTCAGAGTAAGTTAAAATTAGAGGAATTTCCTTACTTAGAAGAGAAGCATTTCAGTATGAATTGGGCTAACTAAATCTTCCACAAAATCTTCATAGACAATCAGTTCAACAGAACTTCAAATTAATATCTGAGGTTGCTATTCTATATTTCCAAACCAGCTGGAAAATTCTCAAAATTTCTAGCTGGCAATCATCTGGAAAAAAAAAAAAACACCTACTAGATTGTAAAAATCAAATTCTTAAACATTTTACAATTATTTAAAGGTTTTAGTTTGCCTTCCCAAACATGTATCTTCTTTTCCTATAGAGCCTCATTTTTTCACCCCACTCCCACCCTAGGTAATTCATATCCTCAGTTCCATGTCCAGTCCAATCATGGTGTCCCTTCCCCTTGCAATGATAGCTCTAAACATGAATATATGATATATTTCTGCAAACGAACCATGTAGGAGAGTCTGCTGGAGTCTTCTGAGAAATGTTTCTTCATTCTCATGAAGAGGAAAGAGAGAGAGAGAGGAGGGGTGGGGAGAGGGAAAGAGAAAGAGAAAGTTTTCTTCTGGACATTGTTAGGTTTCGATGTGATAACTGTAACTTCAGAATGCATTTTATGGCCTCAAGGGGAATTAGCCTCCAGGTCTTCCACTCATGATAGCAGAATGTAAAGAAAAAAAAAATGGTCTGAGTCAAGGTATTGGTCAGGATTCTCCAGAGGAAAAAAACCATATATATATATATATATATATATATATATATATATATATATATATATATATATATATATATAAATTTATTATAGCAATTGGCTCATGTGATTATGAAGGCTGAGAAGTCCCACAATATGCTGTGCGAAAGCTGGAGACCCAGGGAAGCTTATAGTGTATTCAGTGCAAGTGCATAGGCTTGAGAACCAGGTGTGTGAGGCAGGGGTTGGGGAATGCTAGGAAAATAAGTTCTAAGGTTTGAAGGCCTCAAAACAGGAACTCCACTCAAGGGCAGGAAAAGATGGATGTCCCAGTTCCAGAAAAGATAGTGAATATGCCCTTTCCCTGCCTTTTTGTTCTGTTTGGTGGTCCCTCAGTAGACTGCATGATGTCTACCAACATTGGTAAAGAAGGACCTTTTTTGCTCAGTCTGTTGATTCAAATGTTAACCTCTTCTGGAAACACTGCACAGGCCCACCCCAAAATGTTTTATCTGGGATCTGTTAGTCAAGTTGACATATAAAATTAACCATCACAGTCTTTGATTATGAAATTGTTACTCAATTAGTCAACTCTGGAGTTGACTAATATATATAAGTCTATCACTAGACTTCTTTATTATATGAGATGAAAATTTAAGCCACTTGAATCAGCTTTGTTAGGGTTCTGTCAACCACAGGCAGCAGAAAATCCAATTCAGCTAGATGAAATTTATTATCTCAGTTGAGATCATTCTAAATAGCATAATACTACAAGTCATAGTTTGAATAGTCTCTGAATTTCTGCCTTGATCTCTGCTTCTAGGAAGGACTGCTCTTCCAATTGGTCCATTGTGCCATCATTGAAATGACATTTCCAAAATTCAAGCATGATCATGTTACAACTCTGATTAAGTTCTTCAAAGGCTACTTCTTACTTTCTTGGTCTGGCCCACAGATCTTTCTTCATTGGGTCTAGGCCGATCTTGTTGGCATCGTATTCCATCAGTTTAAGCCCCATATGAACCCTAATGCTAAACATTTCACTATTGTCATTGCTTGCCCATGTTGTGTTATGTCTTCTTTATGCTTTACAGAGATTCTTCCCATTGTGTAGGACATCCTTCCCTATCTGATAGATTACTCAGGTCAGCCTTCAAGACTCAGCCTTTCCTAATTGGCCTCCAATGTCTCCTAAGATACTAGATGCTCCTCTTCAGGGCTCCCAACACCCCCTGAGCATGTGACCCTGCAGTATTATTGTCAGATTACATCTGAGTATACAGTCTTTGATGGAAAAAAGGTGTCTTATTTTGTGTCAGGTAATAAGCTGGCATTTCCAATTTCTAGTACATTATCTGTCACAAAATAAGTAGGTAATAAATGTTGACTAATGAGAAAAAATTCTATAGTCCCAACTTGGGTTCATGAAGATCACCGTACAGTTTCTGAAGAAAACAATTGTCCCTTTTGACTGACATATTCCTGATATTTTGCAGACCATAATATGCTCAACAGGGTAGGAGGGGCAAAAAGAAGAAGGAAAATTTATTTAATTCTGTAACATTTGTTGTCAAAATTCTGGAGGAAGGTAAACCACACTAAGTAAAGATTTTCTTTTGTTTAACATTTATCTGTTCTATCCATGCTGAACTCATGTGATAAATTAGACAACAAATGTGTATTGAGTGCCTACTCTGTGTGGAATGTTGAAAGCATTTAAGATACAGCAGTGAACAAAACAGCTCTCAGAGAGTATTGGATCTACAAATAAGCTTTAACCAGTCATTTACCCTTTGTGCATCTTAGTCCTGTATTTGTTTATGAACAAGAAACACAACCATAGAAAGCTGCAGATTCTTGGGTGAAAGTCACTGGTAAGGATGTGGATATATTATTCATAAGTGCTGCCACTTCTTTCTAGAATGAAGGACAGTTAAGAGGAAAAGGTCTTGGATCAAATCTGTTTGTTGACTTTGTTTTCAGCAATCCACATCAATAGGTTTTGAATTTATTTATTTACCTTTTTAAATTTTGAGACAGGTTTTTGAAGTTGCCCAGGCTGGCCTTGAACTTTCCATTCTCCTGGCTTAGCTTCTTAAGTAGTTGGCATTACATAAATGTGTGTCACTGACCTGGTATCGGATTTGTTTTTCTAAACGGGAGTTTTATATATACATGAAGTATTTAGAGGTCTCAACTTCCTTTCTTGCTGCAAATTTCATTAAGGATACATTTGGGACAATGAGCCCCATCTTAGCACTTTTTTTTCTCTGGTTAGCTGGGACTTTGCACTAAGAGTCTCCACCTGGGCACATCACAGCTTTAGAAGCTGATCTGGGTATAGGGACTATTTCCTACAAAAACCAGGCATGTTTAAAAGGGACTAAAGGAAACTTTTGTTTCCTTCCTACAATTTTAGCTTCTATTGAAGTGAAAGCAAGATGGAAATAAAAGCCACATTTATTTTTCTTCTGAGAAAAGACATTACCATGTTAAGAAAAAAAGACCTAATTGCTCTGTGGGAAATGTTTTTATTTTACAAATACTCTGTGTCTTTGAAGTGGCAGCATGATTACATTTCTGACAGTATTACTGGTACAACTCCTTGTCTCCCCAGGGAGAGTAATATGGGGATTTCCCTTCTTTTGGAAGGAATGGCAAACTCCCTAGTACTCAAGGTACACTTGATTTAAGCAAGATTCGAAATAACGAAAACCAGATGATACCACAACAAATAATGAAAGTTTAGTAGTTAAGCTAAAATAAACTGTCTTATCCAGAACACAATGGGAGAATGAGAGAAAACTTCAAAAATAACTCCGAAATCCATTTTTCACAACTTTCCAAAGGCTCTCTCCTCTCCAAGTGAGGAAATGTGAGAGGAATTGAGGGGAATAAGTGCAAAGTGTAGGAAACGTAAACAGTACAAAAAAAAATAGGGGCGTGGAGGAAGGGGACAGCTTTAGGGTCTCACCCCACCTGGAGGCAAAGCTGCGGCAACAGGTGACCTGCCTCCGCCCAAATGTGCCCCTAGAAGGCGCTTTCGCAGGAGCAGGGCAGTGGTCTGGGGCGCGGCGGGGGTGGGCGCAAGCAGCCCTGGTCCCGATGCTCCCGCCGAGCGTGGTGGTAGTGCGGGTGGGGCCACCGGTGGCGGTGGAGCGCCTGGTGGTCCCCGGCCCACTCATTGTCTTCCGAGACTCCCTCCCGCGCGCAGCACACAGCGCCCAGGCGCCTCCGTAGCCTCCGCCAAAGCCAGCCATCGCCCGCCTGGAAGAAGAGGTAGACGAAAGGGTTGAGAGCACTACTGGCCACTCCCACGGCGCGCAAAACGGCAGCCTGGCCTCCCTCCCAGTCTCCCGCAGGCCTGGACGACCACGCGGCCGCCAACCGGGCGGCGAAGTAGGGCAGCTCACAGCCCACAAACAGCAGCGCCAGTACCAGGCTCATCTTCAGGCTCTGAACCTTGGCACGGGGCAGCGCACTGGGCTCGGGGCCTCGGGCCGGACTAGCCGACCAGGGAGCCGCCATGGCTTGGGCCTGGGGCCGGCGCTGCCACCAGACGCTGAGCAGGTGGCTGCAAGCGACGCCCATGACCGCGACTGGCGCCCCGAAGCCCGCGACAGCCTCGTAGAGCGCGTAGATCTGCAGATGCCAGCGCGGGAGAAGGGCAAAGATGCCGCGGCAGCGACGCTCCCCAGGCCAAGAGCGGGCGGCCGGGGACGCAGCGGAAGGCGGCGGCTGCGGAATGTCCCCGCGCACCACGAAAGTCGGGGGCAGTGCCAGGAGCAGCGCCAGCAGCCAGCCCAAGGCGGCGAGGGAGCGTGCGGGCAGCGGCGGACCCTGGGGACGTCGCACAGCGCGCTGGCGCTCGAGAGCGATGAGTGCCACGAAGTGGGCAGAGGCACCCCGGCCAGACGCCTGTAGCAGCTGCATGAAACGGCACGCCAGGTCGCCCGCAGCCGGGAGCTGCCCTTCCAGCATCTCCCAGCCCAGCTGGGACAGTGCAGTACCCCCGCACGCGTACAGGTCCGCCACGGCCAGCTGCATCAGCAGAAAGTCCATCTTGCGACGCTTGGGACCTGCCCACGGCCCGCCGCCGCACAAACGACATAACACCGTGGCGTTGCCGGCCACTGCCGCCACCAAGAAGACCCCCAGTAAGACCAGGCTGACCCGGGGGATGCGTGGTCCGGGTGGCGGCGACTGCGGCCCCGGGGCGCTGGCTCCCTTTCCAGAAGTCAGGTTGAAACCCCAGTTCGGCAAGATGGGTACGGAGAGATTGGGTGCAGGTGGCAGAGTTGAGGGGCTGAAAGGATCTTCCATCCTTAGGCAGGAGGAAGGGGAGGCACCGAAGAAGGCAGGCAGAGCGCGGGAAACCAAAGTGGAGGCGAGGTGGCGCAGAAAGAGATGCTGGGTGTACACGAGTTCCCAAAGTTAGTTGGAAAAGCACACGCATCGAGAGGGAGATGGATTTGGGTGGATTTGCACTTAGTTGTTTTTATAGGTTGTCCTCGTCATTTGTCACTCAAATGTGGGTTGTACACTCAAGGAACACACATGATTCCTATTCTCCACCTTCTCCTCATCTCGCTCCCCAGTCCTAGCATATTCTTTTATAATCTCTGTGGCAGCCCTCCAAGCTACCCATGCGAGCGCTGCGGATAAGTGCTTTGGGAGCTTCACACTTTCAATATTTACTTGTAGAGCACAGCTGGTCGCTTTGCTTGGCCATTTGTAAAGGCTAATGTTAACCAGGGCCCAACACAAGAGATAGGAAGCTCTAGACCAAGATTGTACCAACTCCCCCACACTCCCACATGGTTTCGTGATTGCCTGTAAGAAGAAAGGAAAACCAAAAAGACCGAATTGAAATGCTGTGGGTCTGCGCTACAATGAGGAACACAGGAGCGCTAGAAACCTAACAGCATTTTGAGCAGAAAGAAGATATGCCTTCCTTTGCCCAGCAATGGGAGTGTGTCAGTTGGAGAGAACTAATCGCAGTGCTGTTGCCTGGCAATTAGGAGTGGCAGTGGTTTGCAGAGAGTTTCAGATACTCCTCATTAATAGCAGCAGTGGATTACAGCTGCCCTCTCTGTGATGTACAATTCATTTCATTTGTCTGAAGAGGGCATTAATAGGTTTTATGCAAATGGCATATGTGTTTTGCTTTTTCCTAGTATTTTCATCCACTGAGGAATGTGTCACCACGGCTCTCCTTCTCTTGATCCTGTTTTCCAGCAGATGGGAGGTTGCTAGGAGGGACTACGCCTCCAATAATCCTAGAGAAATGGTGACTAAGAAAATGATAAGGCGGCCAATTTTTAAAAAGGAAATCCAAATCACAGGAAATGGTTCAGATTAAATGCTGCCTCTTTTATTTTAGTCCTACTTCACAAACAAATTTTAGTTTTCCTGTTAGAAGCATCAATTTGTCTTTTGTGCATCCTTCACATTAATCACGGTAAAAGTAGAAGTTCCTGTACTTACTGGTCTGCAGGCCAGGGAGGTGTGGGTGTCTGCTGGGGTTCACATTCCCAGGCTGATGAAAGGTTTGGAACTTGAAGGTGCACAGAATAGAAAGGTTTGGTTTGGTACATGTGACAGTCCTTCCAGTTGTTGTACGAATCTCATTTTTTAAGGTCTTTTTTAGTCAGAGACCTCTGCCATTTTCATTGTCATATCAGTGCTGGGCCTGATACAAAGTAGATATCAGTGAATATATGTTCAGTTGATGAAATAATGAATATAATGCATTTCAGGTAATCTGGAGTGAAAATTCCTGCCTTGACTATAAATCCACCACCTAAGGGGAAAAAAAAATGCCTTTCCTACCCATCCCAATATCATCTAGAGAAGATCAAGGAAGCTTTGTGGAGATGTATGGATGGAGATGTCTTGGATGGGACATTTAAGAAAGAGGTAGAATGATAGCTCTGGAAAACTCCAAAGTTCAGTTTTGATTTTCACATTCTTCAGGGTCTTGTCCGAGGCCCCTTTCTGCCTAACATTATCCAGCTTATGATCCGCTCTTAGCAGTACTCATCATTCAGTCATTCTCCTACCCAATGTTAGTTCAGTATTCCTCAAGATAATTCTATAATTGGTCTCAGATTTGTTGAAATGCTCATGCATATTACAAAACAATACTCTAGCAGTGAAATTACATTTCATAGAACTTAACATTTCATAAGACCTGTTAAAACATTGATTTAAAAACTAATTCTTATCAAAATAGCACATGTACATAGTTTTAAAGTCAAATAGAACTAGAAAGCTGATAACATAAATGACTCTCTATCCTAACATTTCTGTTTTTACATCTTCTCTTCTACTCTTTGCTGTTTCTTTTGGTATTTACTTAATTCCATTATTTTAAGTAATAAATGTGTAATGCTTTTTATTGATTCAACAGTTTAGATATTTTCTGTTAACTTCTTACTAGAAAAGGATGAAGATTTACTTTTCACATCTCTGTTCCCACTGTTTTCCCTTTCTCATAGTATCAAAATAGTAATATTACAATTTGGGGATATACCTGTATTGAGTGTTTGCATTATTATAAAATGAAACTATTTTCACTGAGTGTTGTAGTATATTATAAAGATCATTATTTTCTGTTTTGGAAATTAATAATTGCCTTCTCTTACTTTTCATTGTAATCACAGGTAATGCCTTTTTTTGGGGGGGGGGGGGCTAGTACTAGGGATTGAACACAGGGCTGCTCTACCACTGAGCTACATTCCCAGCCCTTTTTTTTTTTTTTTTTTTTCATTTTGAGACAGAGTCTTAGCTAATTGACTAGGCTGGCCTGCAGCTTGAGATCCTCCTGTCTCAGCTTATGGAGTAGCTGATATTACAGGCATAGATAATAATTAATAATGATATTATTATTATTTAGTTGTTGATGGACCTTTGTTTTTATTTTTTTATATTCGATGCTGAGAATTGAACCCAGAGCCTCACACATGTCAGACAAGCGCTGGCATATAGTCCCTCTGTACAATTTCTACAAGGTCTGTTTCATAACAAAATATGGCAATTCCATTTTTTCCTCCCTGGAAACCTCCTTTTCAGAGACTTTCATTTCCCTTTAGTTTGGGCTGATTTCTCTAGGTGTGACACATTACTATCAGGCAGGGACTTCTACTTGTTGTCACTGAAATTGTCTCTCTTTTGGTTTGCAATTCCTGTTTCTTGAATCTTTGGGTTGTTTGTTTATTTGATTTATTCTCTTGGTAGAAAACATCCATTATTTCATAAGGCTAAAAAGTTTGTATAAGGTTTGAGGACTAAGCAGTGAGAGACCTCCTTGTGTCCATTACTTGAGTCATGAAGACAGTCTGCCTGGACAGGTGGACTTTTAGGTCACTCATTCTGGCATCTTTCTTCATCATCATCATCCTAGAGATTCCTTCCACTTACACTGTTTCTCCAATTTTCTGATTTCATGATTTTTTTTTCTTCCTTGATTTAATTTCCTTGCTTGGGAAGAAGGCATCCTTCAGTGACTTCTTGAGAAAGGGGAATTTTTTGAGACTTTGCATATCTGAAAATTTCTTTACTCTAACTTCATGTTTAACTAATGATTTAGCAAGGTTTTAGAATTCTATTTAGGAAAACATTTTCCTGCTAAATTTTGGAGGCATTGCTTCCTGGCTTCTAAGTGTTCGTGTTGAAAAGCTATAAGTCATTCTCATTCATGATTTGTTTTGATGTGATCATTATTTTTTCCCTTCTAGAAAGAAGCTTATTTTTCTTCTCTGTTTCTAACAAATTTCACAAAGATGTGTTTTGTTGTGGGTTTATTTTTATCCACTGTGTTGGGAACAAAAAAGCATGGTGAATTATATTCAATTGTAATATTTCTTTAGTGGCTTTTAATCTAGAACAGTCCCTCAGGCTTTCTTTTTCCTTTCATGGTATTGACATTTGAAAAGACCAAGACATACATATACAGGATGTTCTTAAAATTTTCTTTATTTCCGCATAATTATAATTGGATTAGACTTTTTTTTTTGGGGGGGGGCAGGAATATTACATAGTTAATACTGTGTATCATTTCAGGGGCACCTAATCTCAATTTGTCTCAATAGAAGCAACATTAAGGTTGATAAATATATTTTGAAAAGTCAGTATTTATTTTATTAATAGCACATATTAATTGTAGAAAAGTAGATAATTCATACTCACAACAACCAAAATATCACTTAACATCTGCCCAGGCAACAATTGTTAATAGTTACATGTCATTCTGTTATGATTTGGATCTAAAAAGTCCCCCAAAGGCCATGTACTGAAAGCTTGGCTGCCAACCTGTGATGCTATGTTGCAACCTTTGGGAGGTGGGGCCTAGTTTCAGGAAGTAGATGCCTAGTTTCAGGAAGTAGATGCCTAGTTTCAGGAAGTAGATCCCCAGGCTTGACCTTTAAAGGGTGTATTTTCTCTCCAACGTTTCTCTCTCTCTCTCTCTCTCTCTCTCTCTCTCTCTCTCTCTCTCTCTCTCTCTCTCTCTCCTCTCTCTCTTCTCTCTCTCTCTCGCCTTGAGGGGAGCAGCTGTGCCTCACTACTGCACTCCCCACCACCTTGATCTGCCTCAACAAAGGCCAGAAGTGATGGAGCCAACTGACTATAAACTGAGACCTCTTAAACTGTGAACCAAAATAAATCTTTCCTCCTGGAAGTTGATTTCCTCCCTTCCTAAGCCAGAGCAAGATAAAGCTAACACACCTTCAGACTATAATGACTTGATCTATATATTTACAAAAATTATAAGTCATACTATATATTCATTTTGTATCCTACTTTTATTCCATTTGAGATATTTGAATAGCTTTCCATATTAATAAATAAAAACATATCTTTTAATGTTAAATGGATTAATTATTTAAATAGCTCCTTATTTCTGGACAAGGATTTAAAGTATTTTTATAAATAATTCTGTAAAGAACATATTGTCACATACATCCTTGCACTTACATTAAATTATTCTCTTATGATAAAATACTGGAATTGGAATTGCAAGGGAAAAGCACATGGATTCTTGAAACATTTTAATTCCTGGTGCTGAATTGCTCTTAATAAGGCACACAAGTAATGTGTCTTTTTCTCTATGGTCCCAACAATATCAGCATCATCATTTTATTGTCATTCTCACAGATGAAAAACATTTAGATATAATTAACATAAAATGAACCTTTGAAGTACACAATTCATTGCTTTTTAGCATTTTCACAAGTTTGTGTAGCTGTCACCACTAATTTGAAAATGTTTTCAGTATCTCTAAAGGAACCCTATACTCATTCGCTGCTTCTCCCAGCCCCTGGAAACTACCAATCTATCTACTTTTTCTCTATAGATTGCCTGTTTCTAGACAATTCATAAATATGTGATTGCATAGTAACATGGCCTTTTGTGTCTACCTTCTTTCACTTAGGATAATGTTTTTAAGGTTCATCTATGT